CTGCCAGATGTTGCGATCTTTTCAGTTCAACCCTGAAAGATAACATAGTCCCATCGATTTTTACATATAATAATGGCATTATTAGTGTGATTATCCCTTCTCTGTCTGCTCCGTGGTCTCGTTCTGAAACGATGCAGTGCTTTTTGAAGAACCTTTGCTGCTGGCTACGTGACAACGCTTTCGAGTACTCAACTCCATGACTTCAAACCACCCCCAGCCTTCCGCACCACAGCGCTCGCGCTCGCTCCTCCATCGGTGATTACCGCCTTTCCGCTTCCACTACCAAAAGCCGCCGCAAGCTCTGTTCTTGAGAGAAATCCTCATGTTCATCCCAGTCTGCGTTTCCTCCGCCCTGTTAATAGCACTGTACTTAGCAGCTCGAGCTGCTGTTCTCGAGCTGCTGTATGCGAGGTTGGGGGTGAGCTCAAGACCTTCAAGCGCTGTGACGGTGCGGAAAGCATTGCCCTGGTCAATCAGGAGCTGTTGTCTCTTGGAAGCGTAGAACATCTCCTCAGTTTCTTTTGATACAAGAGTGTAGAAGAACGCCGTTGAACCCTGTTGAACCCTGGATCATGCCTCCGTTTCGCACGAAGGATACGTCCTATCATAGTCAAATATCTCAGCATAACGATCAACTGAGAAAACTGTGTCACAATACCCAAACGCTGAGCCTCCTGTCGTCGAGAGCCGTAATGTGAAGAGATCTCGACCAAGCACGTTGCTTCAGGAATGTCAATCGACGTATCCCCCACTTTTGACAGGAATACGGTGTTTAAAGCTGGATTATGGCGAAACTGCTGAAGGATTCGGAGTCGGTCTGCTGGACTTGTTCAACCATACAGATATGGCCACCCTAACTTCTCTGCATAGTGCTGCAAGAGCTCATACTAAGCAAAGTGTGCTGTCCTGAGACAATACATACCTCAAGGGCAAACAAGTTATCCGAGAAGATGACTATCTTGTCTCAGTGCTTCGTGGTACTCCATCAGGTATTGGCAGGCCTGAACCTTGCGCGGATCTTCGGTCGTATCAGGAGCAAGCGCATTCCAAGATGTTTGGAAACGGTCAAGCGGCAAGTGGGGGTCATTGCGCTGTCGTGTGGAGTAGGCAAGACGCTGGTTGGAGCTACAGCTGCCGCGACGATTCGCCAGAGTTACTTGGTGGGGGTCATTGTGCTGTCGTGTGGAGCAGGCAAGACGCTGGTCGGAGTTACAGCTGCCGCGACGATTCGCCAGAGTTGCTTGGTATTCTGCACTTCCTCGTATGTTCAATTTTTCGATCCTAAATTCTCAAATCCAACTTCGTATCATGCAGAGTTTCTGTGGAGCAGTGGTGCACAGAATTTCAGTCGTGGTGGTCGACAGTCGAGGATGGACAAGTGGTCGGATATTACATCAGAGCATAACGAGAAGTACTTTGATTACTGAAAATTTCGACCGCCTCCTATTTAAGTCTCTATGACCGCTTCCGTGGAGACTCTGGAATCAACCTACACCGTGCTGGCCTTTTCGGGAAAGATAGCATACGATGATCAAAAGATGATGTACTTTATTCAGTCTCGTGAAGACGAGGTCCATGTTGTGCCAGCAGAAATGTTTCGCAAAGTGTCACCTCGTCGCGGCACACGCAAAGCTTGGTCTTACGGAGACGTTAGTACGTGAGGATGATAAAATCGAGAACTTGAACATTGGCAATGTGTCCCTTGCTTGCAAAATTCATCCATTTTGCCTCGTACAGCTTTGGACCGATCAAGTAGTTGAAGTAAGGGTCGATTGGAGAAAACTTGAACTATTATTGCTTATTCATTCTGTCGGTGCGCGGAAGTTTGGCGCACGATGACTCCTGAGTTCTACAGGGAGTACCTTCGGGCGAAGTCTCGAAAGAGGCAGCTTCTTCACGTTATGAACCCGTTGAGGGTTTCAGATCAGTCTTGAGGTTTGGATTTCGGTCGTCGTTGCGGAAGTCATATTCCTCGAGGAGCGGATAGTCAAGGTCAATGCACCTCTTGCGTACTGACTCGACCTTTTCATGAGCCACCTCGAAAAATCGGACCTGAGTTGGACGCATGTGACGGCAGGCCAGATTCTTCGCCGGTTGCATTCAGAACAGGATTTGGAAGCGAAAACACAAGCGAGTCATCGTCAGAATCGACCCCAGGGTCAACGGCACTTTTGGCACAGTAGGGGCAAACTGGATTTCACGGTGGAAGGTTGTGGGAAGTGCCCTGTACCTTTCTCAGCCGAGGTTGAATTCATTTGCTTATTGTCTGGTTGAGTTGTTTTTGAAACAATCTCAGCGGCTACTGCTGTCGACATCGACACGACTGCTATCTCGAAATCCAATTGAGATCGACAAATTCCTGGCTCATCTGTTCCCCACTCATCATGGTTCCCCTGAGATCATGATCAAGTTGCATACCGTCTTGTTCTGTTGGATTTGCCGTTTGCTCCTCCTCGATCGCACGCATCATCGTCTCTGCTAGTTCGGCCTCATCGTCATCGAATAGGTCGGTTTGTCTCGAGCTAGAAGGTTTGAACGATTGAGGTTGGCGTATTGGTTCAGTCTTATCCGAAGCTCTACTTTTCATTGTTTCGATTGCTGGAGCTGCCTGTGGGGCTGCATTTTGCTCCATAACTGGGTTTCTTATTTGCTCACCGTATTAGAAAACGGAGCTTTGTCTACCAGAAGTCCATTCGCTTCATCATTTTCGAATGCTGCTTCATTGATAACTTCTTCCTGTGGCAGTTTGACCAACAGATCTTCATGGATCGACTCCAGAGAGTATAGGTTGTACTACAAGCTTCAATTTTCCATAAGGTAGGGTATGGCTCTTGATGAACTCTTCAACGGAAGCAGATACTTAGAGCATCATCGAGGTCCTGAATAAGTATCCAACCCAACTGACACCGCAGCATAGAGAGAGTATTCAGTCAAATTATATTAAAGCACGAGTTGCGGACGCGATACCGGCTCTGCAATCGCTCCCAAAAATTCCTGCGCATGGTCTGATATTGGAGAAAATGCTTCGAGGTATATGTACCCGGTATCGCTGATCCATAAAGTCCTCGATAAGTGATCGTCTCTCAGCCCGTGATAAGAATGATCTCCTCCCGACCGAAGAAAATCTCGTAGTGTTGATTTCGAACAATGAGAAAGCCGAGCCCTCACTGCGAATAGCTTCTTCTCATACTCCGATGATGATTCTACCTCATGATCTGCCATCCATTTCTGAAGGCTGTCAGTCGGGTCTCCAGATACCCGCTTTCCTTTCTGTCCACGTCCGTTGTTATTGACGTTCTTGGTTCCTTTCTAAGAGCTACAGGTTCGACGACCGAGTCATTATCTGATAGAATTTCAAACTCCGAAGGTCTCGTCGTCACGCTGTTCCATTTCCAGATTTTCCATGTTTATCTCAGACTTCAATTTCCTCTTCATCTCCTGTAAAGTCTCTCTGCTTCCTCGTGCACAGTTCACACGTACACGTGACGAATCCACTGGTGGTTAAAGTCAAATAATGTCATTCACAATTGCGGACGAGATCAAGGACGAGCTGAAGAAATTGCGGTTCAGGTGCGACAGAAATGGAAGGGAGTGCTCACGATGTTCATGAAGCTTCTCTGCTCAGAAAGTCAAAGGCAAATGCAGCACTCATTTGCCATATTGACATTAAGAAGCTGGAGGTTCGGAAAGAAGAGTTCCTCGAAGACACAACTTTGGGTAAATCTCCAAAAAGCTTCAGTTCTTCGTTGTTTTTGATGATTGGGTTGTTTTCAACACCACAAACACCACAGAGGAGATCGTCGAGGAGTTGCCGGACGCAGACGCACGATTCATCGTACTCAGCTACGAACTTCATCATGACGACGGCCGCGTCTCGTACCCGATAGTTGGGATTAATTACTGCCACCCAGGTAATCGTTCGAACGGGTTTGAACGTCAACCATTTTTAACCATTTTCCTGGGACTAGCGTCTGGAGATCAGGTGAGGGTAACCTCAGCCGCTTGCCGTTCCCGCTTTTTCCAAGAGGCGGAAGTGTCCGGCAAGGTAGAGAGAGAGAGAAAGAGAGAGAGAGAGAGAGCGTATCGATGCCTTTGTTAACTTTAAGCACTGAAACGTGTGTTTAGGTTTTTGAGCTAGAAGAGCCTGAAGATCTCACTAAAGAGAATTTGGAGAAATGGATTCTGTCGTCCAAGACACGGCCATAGATGCTTAATGAGTCCGGATATAGTGCTCTGCTCGTGATCTATCTTCGAGTGTTTTTTGCGGGCAGCTTCACGAACCTCGAAACAACTGTCGTTGCACATTCTGGAGTACTCTCCGATACAATAAGAACAAAACACAGTTTCGATGATGCTCTGACCCTCAAAATCCATCATATAATTGTAAATCGAAAAGCATCTTTCTGGCCACTTCTTCGTCTGCGCTTGAGTTGCTATGAGTGGACCTGGACAACGAACTAAAGGATCCAAAACAATTTCAGGAATATATCAATCGTTAAAAGACCAATTTGTTACACATAGCAGCCCCATTTTTAAAAACAATATGATTTCTAATTGCACGCAATTGCAAAAATACCAAAACCCAATATTGTCAACATCAAATGCAAAACCAAAATAACAAAACCCTAAGCGCCTTATAAGATGGTCATGGACGAGCACATCGGGAAGCGCGCACAGCATAAGGAAAAGTAACAACGAAAACCAGAGGTAAACTCAAACCTGTGGCTACACATTATATATTATAACGTGTCTAGAAGCGATTTTTTTCTTTTTTTTTTTTTAACAATATTATTATTTATTTTGCACATACAATGCATAACAAAAAACAACACCCAAAGTGCCTTACAAGATGGTCATGGACCAGCACATAGGGAAGCGCGCGCAGCATAAGGAAAAGCAACAAAGCAAAACAGAGAATGTAAACTCAAACCTGTGGCTACCCGTCAGACACTGCTAAGGTGCCAAAAAAACAGGTAAGTAATTAATAATACATTTTCTCGGGGGATGTAGCTCATCTGGTAGAGCGCGCGCTTCGCATGCGTGAGGCACAGGGTTCGATTCCCTGCTTCTCCAACCCTTCGAAAGAGATCTACCGTACACGTAAAAGGAATAACTTATGCCACCATAAGGCCGGATTTTCTCAATCACTGTGAGACTACCTTCTACGACCAGCTATTAAGCACAGACATTTTCTTTACCAGAGCTAATGGTCTTTACTGAGTTGCTTCTTAACTCACTTGGCAGCCTAAATCTCGATGGTGCAGGGCTCAAGACTATTGGGTGTCCTCCGAAACCCCAAGTTATAATCAGGTCTAAATAATTTAATATTTACAAATTTGGCACCAAACCAATCCATGCAGTTCATCATTTGTGCAACTGTGTTGGAGGAGGAGGAACATCAAGAGCTGGCCAACACATCCCACCTTCTTTACCGTGTGGGATCATACTGAATCGACATCGCCTGCTGTCTCAGGCACTTGAATCAACATCCAACAGCCCATGGTATAAGTTTTATGAATGTGCTGATGACGGTTCGTTTATGAACGAGGTCTCATTGAAAAGAGCCACATTTGCTGAGCTTCTTGAAAGTATGTAGGTTACAGAAAGGTATGTAGATATTTCGATATTTCAACTCTTTCCACAAGTTTTCTTTGTTTGAATGGATTGCAAAAACACCAACAGTATTGCCGTCTTCTTTGTTTTCAAGTTCTTCTCCACAGGAAACACGAGCAGCATCAGCTCATCCTGCCTCTCCATCTTCGGCACCTCAAACGACACCACCTGGAACAAGCAAGGCTACAGATCTGCACACGTGAAATTGATCACCAAGTGTTAAAAACCAAGGGCTTCTCCTGGCAGCGGTAGGGCGTCTTTAGCTGTACTGTAGCTAGCACAACAGCTCCAGGTTCCGTCTCTTGGCCCAGTACCTGTTCTCCCAGGTGTGTATATGCCTAATACTCCGACAGGCTGTACACTACACCCAAGCTGGTCAGGCAACCAGGGAATGCTGTGGTCAAAGACATTGGTCACATCAACTCCTATATTCAAGTGAACAGTGCGTGTGGGCATACCTGTGGTCAAAGACATTGGTCACATCAACTCAAAGGACCAAGCCACACCACATTCCCCACTAAATGCCAAGATCACTCCACACAGGACCTGCCAAACATGGATATAAATACATGAAATACAAGTCCATAAATAAGAATGAAGAGGGATTGACAAAAAAACTCTCAGGTCAAAGAGAAAAAAGACAACCCAAAGGATAACCCATATAGCAAACAGTCTGATATGCTAGTTTTTAACACCAAGTTATTCACACACTTCTGTATTAAGGTTCGGCGGGTCCGGGTCGGGTCCGGGTTTCAGTGGCGACCCGCACCAAACCCTTTGGGTCGGGTCGTGTTTGTCTGGGGACCCGCAGGGTCACTGACGGGTACAAAGGGAATACCCGGACCCGAAGTGGTTGAAACCCGTACCCGACCCTGACCCGCCGGGTTTTTGCTGCCCAGGAGAGGATTGATTGAATTTTGAGTTAGACCACGGATATTTACATGAACACTTTGTGTCTGTGTGGACAGTGTGTATTTTAGAAACACTATCGTTAAAAGAAACAAAACTCCACTGAGCAATCACAAGTTGATAGGTGGAACAGCCCAAATCAGCTTCTGTATCTGGTTCATATCGTCAGAGTCCCATCCACCACTGGTTACGTCCTTCGCCAACCCAGTCCTGATGAACCGATCAATGTCGTCATTTGAAAGCATGAAATCCTTGGCTAAACCTGTCTTCCAAGGTTTCCAATCCACCTCAGGGAGCGTTATGGACGAAAGATGCCCGATGTATGCCGTCCAGAACCTTAGCCACTCAGAAGGATATGCATCCACTAATGCCCTGAACATGCGATAGATAGTGGCAGACGTACTTAGCGAATTATTGTGCCGTATCCAGTTTCCGAGCAAAATGTGCACCCTAAGAAGAGTAAGGCTGCTCCGAGAACTGCTACTTGAAGTTGATATTCGGCTTGAGCGGTCGTCTGATTCAACAAATATGGGCCGTAAAAACTCATTTCGGGAGAGGACTTCGTAGTTTACATTGACGTACTTGATTGATGGTGGAAGAGACGGCAATTTAAGGTCATAAAAAACCTCATTGATCTTATGCATCTGGAAGCAGATACCCTGGATCTCTTTCACCAAAAGGATAGCCGTACGACGATGCTGCTGCAGGCTAAGCAATGCAAGGGAACTCGTTGGACAACTGGTTCGATGTACCTTCGGAATTCTACCAATCCCCTTGATAGCCGACGATATGCTTATTAGGCCGCCTGTTGATGTTGGCGCCGCAGGTGCTGCAGCTTCTGAATGACCAGCCTGTCGTTTCAGAGCAGCAAGCTCTCCCTCCAGGGCGGTCACACGTGATTTCCATTGTGAAATCTCCTGGGAAGTTGCCTGCTTCTCCCTTTCCATTGCAGCGGTGATCTCCCTGAATCTTGCTAGCTCTTCGTGCTCGCCGTGCTGAATCAATGCACCCGCCCTGCCCAATTCATCAATGAGAGCCTTCTCTCGCACTTCTGCTGCGATGCGGGTCCTTCTCTCGTTCATTGCAGTCTCTTCAAGATCTTTTGTCATGTTCAACAGTCGTTCTGACTGTTTGAGGACCTGTTTTGTCCTTTCACGGTCCTCATCTGCTCGTTTGATGGTCGCTTGGAACTCGTCAACCTTTGCAGTGACGGGCATTCCTCTGTAAATGCCGTACTTGTGTCCCTGCCGCCTGTAAAAGTCCAGAAATGTTGTTTCCTTCTGAAAGGAAGAGCTTTTCAAGCACTCCATACGATAGGCGTTTGCTGCTGTTATGAACTCCGTTCGTCCACTGCATTCATCGTGAATTTCGTTCAGGGCTTGACGAACTAGCTTGCTGTCAGAGTTAAGTCGGTCAATCAACCCTTGAAGAACAAATCTTGGGCCGCATTCATCACGATTTGTTTGACAGTTGCTGATGAAGTCCTCCGAGTCGTAGCTGTGGCCGCTCGCTTTGAATTTTCGATACCAAAGTCGTATGTCTGAAGCAGGACAGAGTCCGTCGATGAGCAAATAGTCAGCATCCCCTTTAGTACCACTTCGCGCCGGTTTCTTTGAAGGAGCTGTCGATTTGATATCTGTCGATTTGACATCAAGGCCAACTTCTGCTTCTTCCACTTCAGAACCCGATGCCAGAGATGTTTCAGGTGCAGTCACAGGTTCTGCACTTGATTCTCTTTCAGATGATGGTCTGGATTGTTTTAACGCTCGCTTCTTTGTAGTTCGAGGCATGGTGTTTGTACTGTTTGTCGTGGGAAGATACTGGCCCGGTGTTCTTAGCCGGAATGTTACAGGAATGTATGCTATAATACTTCCCTGACACTATAGTTTTCTACCCGATCTGAAAATAATAATAAGCTAGGGAAGAAACTGGCTAGTAACATTGATAGAGAGGATTCTGTCCGGGTGGACAGAATCTTATTGCTAGTAAAATTGATAGAGAGGTTAGCTGTACTTGATAGAGATCACTGAAGTACCGTCAATGAGTTGAGAAAGTGTCCGGGTGGACAGAAAATACATGCCTTGATGTCCGTTGTGATGCAAAATTGTTTGATACATACAAAACTTATATTGCGTCTTCTTGGAAAGTGTCCGCGTGGACAGAAAGAACAATAGCTTCGTTTTAGATTCTCTATCACATCGGGTTTTACTCGGGTCTGACTTTTGACCCGAGAAGGTTTTCCTACTGGACCCGATACCCGACCCGGATCCGACCCGAAAATTTTCCATGAAAACCCGGCACTCGGGTCGGGTACATTTAGTCAATGGACCCGGACCCGACCCGAAAGACCCTAAAACCCGCCGATCCTTATTCTGTATTCTCCTCCTTGCCTCCTAGAAACACCCTTACTTCGCAACTTCCTAAGATTCCAAATCTCCACCAGCTTCACCAAGAACAGAATTGCAGATCGCACGGAAGGATTTCATGCAGCATGGGTTTGATTTTGCAATTGGGAGTAATGGGAACCCTGTCTGGATCCAATCTTGCACGTTGAATGGGATTCAGCTCCTGGGGCCGGAAGACTAGAAAGCAGGTCGCAAAGGAGTATGGTGGTTGTTGCGAGATGTTTCAATACAGGGCACACAGCTGGAACTATGTCTGGTAGTCCAAAAATGTTGAGCAAACAACCCACTAAGGGATTCTGATTGAGAAAGCCGACAAGAGCTGTGAAGAAACCTTCCAGGGTTGAAAGAATATATAGTGTCTCCCTCTCCTTGGAGATGGCGGCAAGAAAGTTCAGTAGTTGCTGAGGCACAGCTGGAACGGTATTGATCTCCGGTTCAGACGCCCATGCTGATTTACTGAGTTTGGATTGACGAGTACTTCCATTAGGTGCTCCAGTACCAAAGTTTGGATATACAATTCAGTTTCTGCTGAAAGTTGAGAAATGGTCCCTGCAATGCTGATATTCGCCACACTGCGGTCTTGCTCCTGGCTTGCAAAGGAAGAGGTTGTGATTGGATAGCAAGACTGGAAGATTGCATAGCATTGTTCACAGCCATGGGTACCCCTGTTGAATGTTGTGATTTGACTGGTGTAACGGGTTCCAGGAGAAAAGTACTTGACGGTTGACGCAGAAAATACTGATCAATTGAGTTCTGCTAGGTGGTATCAATGTTGAATTGCATACTGATCATGGCAATGCCACACCAGCTGGTTTCTAGGATACTGTCGTTTTGGCTTTCCTGTCAAATTATTCATTGTTGTCTCCAAATATGTAGAACAGTCCTGCATTCTTAATACTAAGATTTCAATCAAATGATTGAAGCTAATTGATGGTATCGGATTTGGCAATGTCTTGAATAGTTACATGTAAATAGTTCCTCGGTCCAAATGTGGTTTGACGATATAAGGCAGGTACCTCCCTACATTATGCCCTGTCGCGCCGATTCGGATTTGGCCGAATAGGCTATGTATTCTCCGCTCACCGAGCTCTTTCGCAGGTTAAAATTCATTTGTATTTGATCTTTATCATGATTTGTTTGATCTTC